AAAAAAAAACATATAAATTTTTTTTTTTTTATTTTTTTTTTTTTTTTTTTTTTTTTTTGTAGCTCTTCTTCATTGTTGAGCTATAATATACACCTCTAGTGTAAGGCATCAGCAATGGGAAAGATGAAAAGACCATTCAAAGGGATAATCAAGGACTTCAAAGGAAGAGCTGCTTGTTATAAGGAAGATTGGACTTGTGCACTCTGTTCAGGCGTTGGGTAATTTCTCAAATTTTCTAAAATAAATATATAAATAAATAATGTGTTCATGTGACAAGTTTTGCATAAATCTGATTTCACTTTCATTTTCATTTCATGTCAGGATATTAGCTCCAACTGCCTATATTTTCTTTGCTTCTGCACTTCCTGTTATTGCCTTTGGAGAGCAACTGAATAGAGACACAGGTATTTTTTTCAAAATCTTTTTTCCTTACTTCTCTTTAAAGGAAAAAAAAAAACCATTTCAAAAGGAGAAATGTAGGATATTACCTAGTTTTTCTAATCAAAAGTCTGTGCCTTTTAAGTTGATATGTGAATATATGATCAGTCTCGTTCATTTCACTCGTTCGAGTTAAGAATTTGAGTTAAAAAAGTAAATTTATGTGAGAGAAAATACTGAAACATAAAAAATTAAATTTAAATTTTTGTGAGAGAAAACATTGTAGCAAAACTTGTGTTATAATTCAAACTTACGAAACGAACGCTGCCTTAAAGTATGAGTTAAGATGAATAGCATTACTCCATCAAAAACTGTTGTAATTAGTAGTGGTGTCATAGCTTAAGCATGGATTTTAGACTAAAATTTCGAGTTTTTCATGTGATGATAGATGGAAGCTTGAGCACAGTGGAAACTTTAGCATCCACTGCGATTTGCGGAATCATTCACTCGATATTTGGAGGACAACCATTGTTGATTCTGGGAGTTGCTGAGCCCACCGTCATAATGTATACTTACTTGTACAACTTCAGCAAAGGAAGGCCTGAGCTTGGAAGCAGGCTCTATTTGGCTTGGGCTGGTTGGTACGGCAATCAATCCTTTTTTGGCTGTCAATTCTTTCCTTTTCATTTTTGAGTTTGAAAATCGAAACTGAAGTTTTGTGTGACTTATGTCAGGGTATGTGTCTGGACAGCACTACTGCTGTTTCTTCTTGCGATCTTCAATGCGTGTGCCATTATCAGCCGATTCACAAGGATCGCAGGGGAACTTTTCGGAATGTTGATTGCTGTTCTTTTTCTGCAACAGGCGATTAAGGTGCATAGCACATTAAACCCAGAGTTTCTTTTTCCTAAGAATTTGAAGTTCGTGAAGTAGACATGCATAACCGTTATAGATTTTTGAATGATAGGGAGTGATCAGTGAATTCGGTGTTCCCGAAGCTGAAGATCCAAAACTGGAAAAGTACCAATTCCAGTGGCTTTTCGTTAACGGGTTGCTTGCAGTCATTTTCGCCTTTGGTCTTCTTTTCACCGCCCTCAAGAGCAGAAGAGCGAGATCATGGCGATATGGCACGGGATGGTTGCGAGGCTTCATTACAGACTATGGGGTGCCTCTTATGGTTGTGGTGTGGACAGCATTATCTTACAGTGTGCCCAGGAAAGTTCCAGAAGGAGTCCCTAGAAGGCTCTTTTGTCCCCTTCCTTGGGAATCTGCATCATTGTACCATTGGACAGTAATCAAGGTATTAATCTTCTGATGGTTAAATCTTAGTTCTCATATTTGTGTCCTGTAATCAAGCCAAGTATTTTTATTTGATGGAATCAAAAGAAGGATAATTTATTCATCTAAAATTGTGCACTATGAAATTGCAGGATATGGGGAAGGTCCCGGGGTTATATATTTTTGCGGCCTTCATTCCAGCTGTGACGATAGCAGGGCTATACTTTTTTGACCACAGTGTAGCTTCACAGATGGCACAACAGAAGGAGTTTAATCTGCAAAAACCATCTGCTTTCCATTATGATATCTTATTGCTTGGTATAATGGTAAGCTTCTGAAGATAATTTCCTTGTAGCATTATGTAAACATATTTTTTGGACTCAATTTTCTGATTTACATCATTATTGTTTCAGACGTTGATATGTGGATTGCTTGGTCTTCCACCTTCAAATGGGGTTCTCCCGCAGTCGCCCATGCACACCAAGAGTTTGGCTGTTCTCAGAAGGCGGGTAAGCTACGGTACCGTGTGCAAAATCAACTCTTGATCCCTAGTGAGAATCACAAACTGTTACGATAAAAACCTTGATTTTTGCAGTTGATCCGAAAGAAAATGGTAAAGAGTGCCAAGGAATGCATTAAGCAGCAAGCAAGCAACACAGAAATATATGGAAAAATGCAAGCTGTTTTCATAGAAATGGATGCATCTCCAACTGTATGCATCTAATCTAATCTCTCTATCTCTCTATGTGCTGTGTTCTGGTTGTTTTACTAAGCATATAAGTTTTCCTTTTTCCAGCCTAAAGAGTTAGAGAACCTGAAGGAGGCAGTAATGCAAGTTGATGATGGGGGACCTGCAAACGGAAAATTTGATCCCGAGAAACACATTGATGCCTACTTACCTGTCCGGGTTAATGAGCAAAGAATGAGCAATCTGCTGCAGTCTCTTCTTGTGGGCTTATCAATGTGCACCGTCTCTGTGATCAAAATGATACCAACCTCAGTTCTTTGGGGATATTTTGCTTACATGGCTATTGACAGTCTCCCAGGAATTCAGTTCTGGGAAAGGATTTTGCTGCTCCTCATCACCCCACGTCGGCGCTACAAGTAAATTGTTCTTACAATAGCAGAATCCTTTTATAACAATAGGTTTTGGTTCAACTAAGAAACTCATTGGGGTCACTAAATTGTTGATATTTCCATCCTTAGCTAAGTAGGCTAGTTGATCATGGAAAGAGGATGATAAGACTTAACTATATATTATGTGTTAAATATAAAAATTATTTTATTGTAACAATAATCCTTAATACATCTTCTCACCTTCACATCATTGTCTTGGCCAAGCAGAGTGTTGGAAGGGTCTCATGCTTCATACGTCGAGTCGGTGCCATTCAAGTACATCACGCTGTTTACGATCTTCCAACTAGTATACTTGTTGATCTGTTTCGGTGTGACGTGGATTCCTATAGCTGGAATATTGTTCCCATTGCCATTCTTCCTTCTTATAGCCATAAGAGAGCGCCTGCTTCCCAAGCTCTTCCCGCCTAATCATCTTCAAGAACTTGATGCTTCTGAATACGAGGAGATCTCTGGTGCTCCGCACCGTATCCTAAGTATCTCAGTAACGGTACATCTATTGCCCCTAAGCTAATAAATTTTAGCATGCCATTATTGGTTTTTAGTTTGAGGGTACGTAAAAAAAATGCTGTCTTGGTGCTGCAAAACTATAAAGGCAGATTTTATTTTAAACTGTCAGATTTGATACTTTATGATTTTTAAATGATTTGATGTTCAGAAACATGCAGTGTATATAAGAATTCTGTTTTTTATGATGTTAACGCTTCTTGGATTTGTGGAAGCAGGAAAGAGAACCACCCGATTCCGGAAGCGAAGACAGCACAGAAGATTTCTATGATGCAGAAATACTAGATGAAATCACAACAAATAGAGGCGAGTTCAAGCTAAGAACCGTAAGCTTCAACGAAGAGAGGTTCTTGCAGGTAAGCACACTCAATCCCATTTATGCTTCTTCTAAACATTATTTGTAGTAACGAGTTCAACACATGTTAATTAAAGATGTGATAAGAAAAAACTTGTTCTTCAGGTTTATCCAGAAGATGTCGGAAAATAACGAGACAAAGCTGATTAGGATGTAGATTGAGCTCGTTACAAAAAATTGAGGACGGTGATTGTGCATGCATCCAATCGTCAATAGATAGCAGCACGAGGTCGAAAAGTGTCGTTTTCCTTTGTATCGAAACAAAGAAATGAGATAAGGAAGACAATACATTCAGAAAAAAGGAAGCCACAGAAGACTGCATTTTGCAGTATGATTCAGTTATAGTTGGCAAAAAAGCCTTTAGATTGTTAACACCAAAGTTTTATAGTACACCATTCTTTTTGCTAGCAAATTAAAGGAGTTGAGGTGGGGCGCAGGGTATGTAAAACATTGGGGATGGATGAATCAGGAACATTTAGTACTTCATTATCAATGCAAATTTGAGGAAAGGGTATAGATCTTTTCATTCTTTTTCTCCAAGCTTCAGGATAAGTCCTAGATTATCTCTTCTTCTTCTTGCAGTGAAAACAGATCTGCCAATAAGAAATTTTTGCAACAGTTTAATTATGCCTGCACAAGCTTGGATTTATATAACCAAAAAAAAAAAAAAAGGAAAACGTAGAAAGCATCATTTCCTTGATCAGCATTAGTGTTTGAGTACAGCCATTTATTTGTTTCTTTTGTTGGTAAATTGGTATTTTAATGGAACTCTCAACATTATTAGTGAGAAAAAGGAGATGTCTGACAGACTCAGTAGACAGATTTGAAATAGTATTTTGTTCGTAGGAAAAACATGTTGCACAAGCTAATTTGAAACAGTTTCTTTTTCATTGTATTAACGTGGTTCTCATAAGATGACGTGCTGTTTTAACCACAAAAGTTTGTTGCCGTATCGTAGGAGAAACGACATTTCCTAGTGCAAAGTTTGATGTCATTTGTCTTTCTCAACTTTCTTGTGTTTCAAGTTTGTTGCCTTGCTAATTTCATGACTCAAGTTATAATTCAAGTCGTATTGCTACAATGTTTTCTCTCACAAAAATTAAAATTTAATTTTTTTGCTATAATATTTTTCTCACATACACAACTCAAGTCATGACTTGACTTGAGTTGTGCAAATGAACATATAAAACAACATGCCGTAAGTATGCATTTTTGGTCCTTTACCGAAAACAACGTATCAATTGTTGTTTAGAACTTTTTACTGTCGTCCGAGCGCCAAACTAAATGTCCTTTCACTAGCAAAACACGAATCGTTTGTACTTTAGAATCCTCCAGTCGTTAATGAAGGGACATGCCGTTTATTTCAAAAGTCAACATGAAAAATAAGCAAATAGAGAAAGGGGAAGGGTGGAGAAAAAAAAGGGGGCAAAAAAAAAAAAAACAATTTAGGGGTGGCAAGGGAGCTCCCCAATAGGTATTTTAGAGTCTGCAAAAAAAAAAAAAAAAAGTGGCAACCGTGTAATATTTTATTTTTAAGCGCTATATTATTTCAAAACTTAACCCCACAAAAAATGTTCTTGTGAAACAAATGTTAGATGCATGGGACATATTCTTGAGCATATCGACAAGGCTCTAGTTATTTGCTTTATTCTTGAGTCATATTTTTCTGCTTAGACTGCTTTCCCTTGATTGATAGAATCTCAAGTGCTTTTGTTTTGCAAGTGTTAGGTCAATATTTTGCTCAGTTTGTTCGGTTATTGTTACAAGTATAAATATTCTCCTATAAATAATAATAATAATAATAATAATAATAATAATAATAATCACTCTGCAGTGAGAGTGTTAGTACGGACGTATTGTTGGACATGATCATGATATACATCGTTATAGTACTGTACAAAATAGATGAAAAGCCAAATGTTAATCGAAGCTTCTCAACTATATATTATCCTCTAAACAATATTGCCACCAATATTATCCCCAACAAGAATAAGATGGTCGCCATCTCTAACAAGCTCAATATCTTCGATTTCGGCTCCTTCTTTAGTCGAGACTTTGGAGGCACATAATCCGAATTTTTTTACACCGATTTCAAGTAGTTCGGAAAGTGATTCCGGCAAAGGAACAAGCTTTGCACCAACTTCACTTTTCTCTGGAAAGCTAATTACCACTCTTGGAGGGTAGTGATTCGGTGTCTGACCGCCGGAGAAATTGCTTCTCCCTCCAATAAGTTCTCTCTCTTCTGCATGATTTTTCAATAAGCAAAGTGTGAACAGAAGTCTAGCCATATTAAGTTCTAAGTGATCAAAATTTGAACACATTGCCGGGTTGATTATGCAAATGTGTCGTGAGTAAGAACACTTTATTGTCGTGTGATGTTGTATGACTCAAATTTGTGATTGGTTAGAAATGGTGACGACGAGCACAAATAGTGAAAAAAGCAGCTCACCAATATTTGCAGCAGACATCATCCCGAAAAGCGAATTGCTAAAGTTGCAAGCCCTTCTTCTGGTACTCTTACCAACAGAGCCATCCTGGTAATACAACGGCATGGCAGGGTCACTCTTGAACTTTGCGAGCTTCGAGTCCATCCTTTTAACATTGGGGACAGGAAGAAATGGTGATGTTTTAGTATCTGGCAGATTCAGGAAGAGTTCTTTTATCTCTTCATGGCCCTGATGATCTGCCAAGTCCCTAGGGGTCCATCCGTGGATGTCTGGTCTATCAACGTCAGCTCCTTGCTTCAACAAGAACCTCGCCATTTCTTCGTTTCCTTCGCACACCGCGGTATGAAGCGCCGTGCTGCCGTCGTTCCTGGGCTGCGTCACGTCGTAGCCATAGCGAACGATGTCCCTGAGCAATTCTAAGTTGTTTTGCTCAACTAAAGTGCAAGCTAAATGGCCTATGTCCGAACAAGTTATCTCTGCACCATTCTCTAAGAGAAGTTTGATAATAGATTCATTCTTTCCCAGTATTGCTTCTCCTAAGGGAACGTTCCCTGCTAAATCTGTGAATGAAAATTAAGTTAAATTAAAAACAAATTCTATAAATCGTTCCGAACTTTACCTTCACTTCCACTTTGGTGCCTAAATCTTAATTAGTCTCAAACTTAACAATCAATCTTTTAGTTTGTTTCAGTTTTAGCTCTTTTAGTCAGTTGGGTCTTAAAAAGATGATGATATCTGGACGTGCTGCTAATGGAAAATAAGACTCTGCTAACTGAACATCATTCATATTTTATCTTATTTTTTACCTCTAATTGATAGAAGGTCTAAAATTGAAACAAATAGAAAGGTTAGGATTAAGTTTGGGACCTTTCTAAGTGAAGTACTAAAGTAGGATTAGAGCTATACCTATTAAGTAATATAGTGAAAAGAATACCATATACCTTTGACATTCGGATTCCCTCCGTACTGTAGAAGTAGAGCTACACAATGCTCGTTTCCATTAGCCACTGCAATATGCTGAGCAATGGAAAGAAAGGCTGAGCACTGAAGAACAAGTCTTAGTTTAAGAAAAATAAATAAGTAAATAAAATTGAGCACCTACCATCGCCGTCCGTCCGTTGACATCCGCTTCGTTTGGATCAGAACCACGGCTAAGCAACCGATGCAGCAGTGACTCGTCGCCTCTCGTCGCAGCAAAGCATAAACTAAGAGGCAAATCCATTCTGCCCCGAGCCAACATGTTCTCTGTTTCCGTCAGAATTGCCTCCATCAGCGGATCCTTCATTTCTTTCAAATGCTGCATTGAGCGATTCGCAGGGAAAAAAAAAATACTCTGAATGAGAAAACTCGTATTTTTCACATTCAAAGGATACAAAACTTAGTTGGTCTCAAAAAAAAAAATGTAGATTACCTGAAGAAGATTGTTGATTATGATTGTCCCATCTCCAACATTGGCTTGAACAATATTAAGAAACGCTGTGCGGTTGAGTCTCAGCAGTTGGCTCAGCCGTTTGGTCCGAACCGTGAATGGCTGCGGCCTGTAGCAGAGCACGCCTATCTCACCAACGACGTCCCCAGTCTTTGCCTCACCTACTACCTGAAGAAGATCCATTTGGAACCATGTTGTTAATAACAAGTTCAAAAAGAAAACAAAGACCTGAAGACACTAAGATGTCTAATATGATTCCACTTGCCTGTTCTGTTCCATTTCCTTTTCTGATAAGATCCTGCGAGGTAATTATAAGCACAGAAGTTATAATTAGTCCCACTATCAAAACACAACAAAGAAAAGATAAAATAGTGTTTTAATTAGGAGTTAAATGTCTTGATTCCTACCATACAAGAGCGATAAGATACGAGAAGAAGAGGAAACAGAAACAGAAACACAGAATTTGTAATGGTTTATTCTTAATTTGAGAGTTACGTCCACTTGCCACAGAAAGAACTTCAGACAACCAAAAACAACTGCTCTGAATGCCCCTCGTATATGACGAGATTAGGTCGGACCGCAGTCATTAGAAAGAGTGTATAACATAGTTAGGCTCCACAAAACTTATTAGATTGTGAAGAGGAAAATAGGGTGTGAGTTGTCAGGGTTTATAACCCTTACCACTGCGCCAGTAACCAATATATACATCTCAGTTGGTGCCTCATTCTGCAGAATTACATCTTCTTTGGGGGGAATATACTCCGCTTTCATCTCCGAGACCTTCGAAATCGAAACAAAAGTGTGAGTTTCACCCTGGAAATAACATGTTTAAAGGATTTTCAAGCCATTGTATACGAAGTACGAAAGAGTCTTGATATTATTGTTTACCAGTTGGAAGAGTAAGTCGTTCGAAACTCCCCGGAACAAGTAGACATTGTCGACAAGTGAGTAGAAGAGAAAGTGAGAGATACTAGATCTAATGGCTTTAGGGAGGGCATCAAGAGTCTCTTGCTGTTGCAGCCCTTCCGAATCGGTTCTGAATTTCAAGCATAGATGAGCAAGCATCTGCTCTTGTAAGCGTTCTGGTAGTAGGTTCCTTTGAGCAAAACCTGTGGCTGCTTGGATGGTGTCTCTCTGTAGTTCCACAAACGAGCCCAAGAAAACAAAAAATTACAAATCTCATATGCATCATTTTATGTCTTTATAATTAGGTTCGTTTCGGGGATGGGGAAAAGTGGAAACAGGGAGAGTGGTGAGGAGACTAGTGGAAAAATTTTAAGATTCATAATGGTTCGACGCTGCGAAAAATCTCAATTTTAATCTCTCCCAGTGGAGGATTAGAGAATGGCCTTCATACCAAACACAATAATAGAAAGGTTCTCTCCTTGTTTGTTTTTTCTTTTTTCACCTAAATTTTATAGCTTTCTTTCCTTCCTACCAAACAAATTCCTACTATAGAATAGCAAGTAGGAATGCCCCTAAGGTTCTTATAAATTTGTAAAACAGACAATACAAACATAAAGCTATGCTCATGAGCAAAAACGGCCAAGAATTAGTAGAGAAGATATCTGCTTACAAATTGCCTTGTACGAGCAGTTCCATGGACAACCAAGTTGGTCATGTTCCCAATCAAATAGGCTTGCAGGCCAAGAATGAAGAGCATGTAGAAGATGTCGAATACCATCTCCTCCGAATTTACGGGATGGAGATCACCGTAGCCAATGCTTGTGAGTGTGACTATGGACCAGTACATTGAGGTCACATACCGAACCCACAAACTCTCTTCGCGGAAGTTCTCCATGGATGATCCAATCCATGTCCTCACAGGATCGCGATAATGAGCTGCAAGAAAATAGAAGATGCAGCCGGCGAAATGGACAGTGAAGAGAGTGACCTACAACACAAGCACAGGAAAATTTATTATAACACCACTGTTACACAAAAATATTATAATACTAGATATCTGTCCAAGTGACTCACAGAAACAAGCTTCGAGTACCGAACCCAATTGTAGCTATACCTCCTGTCCTTTTCCAATCTGGGAGGAGGAAAAAAAAAAACAAAACTTAAAGAGAATGGTGAATTAGCTATAACATACAAAAGCGAAGATTAAGATCGATATGCGTGTTGTGTCTCTGCATCAGGGTAATAATTAAGTTCCACAACTTAACAAGTTATCGTAAATAAAGGGAAGGCTCCTGAAAGATTGTACCTGGCAAACATGGCACTGACTCTTCGGAGGCGCCAGAGACGGAGCATGTTGAAGTATCCATAAGTCTTGAAATGAGGAGGCAAAATAGCCCTAGCAACTTCTGAGGGGATTGTGGAGACAACGTCAAGGACCAACCATGTTTTGGCATACCTTTTAGCAATTAGCTGTGGATTGTCAATTAGGAGATAAGTGGTCTTGTCTAGGTATGCAACGAAAAACGTCACAAAGATGTCGATAGCGAATAATGCATTCACAACGTTGTCAATCACAGCCAAGGTACCTCTTGGCCTGTCTAGGAACCCAAATTCAAAGGGTGACACCCACGCCGTGTAGTAAACTAGAAGTACCAAAAAGGACTGCCAAATTCTGCACCCCCACAACAATATAGTTTAAAAAAAATAAAAAATAAAAATCAATCCCAATTTAACAAAATATTGTTTTTAAGAATTTTCCCTGCATGGTTTTCAAACAAGAGACTTATACGGTGTGACTTTAAGAATGTGAGACGTAAACTAAATCAATGCATTGTCGATATTGGACATTCACACGTAGAATTTCTATCAATCTAACCCTTTTTTTGAAAAAAAAAAAAAAAAAAAAAGTGTTGGTTAATAACATTGCATAACATTGTGACGCAGAAGAGAGAAACCTGTAACGGGGATTAAAGGGAGAGATGATGAAACGGCAGAGCTTTGCCCTGCGATTAAGGCGAGCGGTTGCTCCGAGTGGAGGAAGGATTCCGGTAAGACTGTACTGGCTTCCGTCGTCCTTAGAGAATCGCCCCATCTCATCTCTCTCTGCTTCTTTCGTGATTCCTTTATACATTGCAAAAGAGAAAAAAGAAAAGAAAAGAACAAGATGCTTAATAATTAATTAATTTCCCCGTCTCTGTTTCTCGCTGTTTTCCTTTGTTTCTTTCGCTTCGAAATGCTCAATACAATCTCTCTCTAAAACCCTTTTTTGGGTCATATAATCCACCATTGTTGGTGCAACCAATGGTTTAAAATCAAATGCTGGGAATTTTCTTTCCCTCTATCGCTCTTCTTCTACAAAATCTTGGATTCTCATTCTGTCTTCCAAATGGCTTCACTCTGTTTCTCTCTGTCCTGTGCGCCACGTTATGTGATTGTTTTTATTTTATGCGTCCCTTCCGTGTTTTCAGTTTTTTTTTTTTTTTTTTTTTTAATGCAATGTCTAGTTCTCTGTCCCTCCAAATTTGGCGTAATCTTTTTTTCAAAAATACCAAAATTGAGTAATCTTGGAACGACCATTTTTCCACTTATTTCGTACTTTAATTCGTAATAAAGAGGAAGATATACCGTAGTCGTGTACCAGGTTTGAGGATCCTTTCTAAAGAAAAGTAATGCTGTCGCATTGACCTTTTTCAGTGATTTTTTTTTATTAGGACCTTTTTGAAGATTTGAGTGATGGTACGTTATTTTTTATTTTTTATTTTTTATTTGGAGAACGAATTTTGGAGACTTGTAAAAAAAGAAAAGAAGCTTCCTCAAAAAATAAAATAAAATAAAATAAAGCAGAGAAGCTTTTATGGCATAATGAGTCAAATCCAGTTGTACTGTATAATATTTGTTTACCCTTTAGATGTTAATTAAAAAAAAAATGCATGAATTTCGTTAATGGGTTGAACGTATAATTATTTTATCCTTTTTTTTTAAGAAAATTCAGAACATGATTATTAACGTATTGATAAATCACTTTTTTCCGTACGACCTAAAACGGTTAGTCGTACCATATTTCTGAAAAATAAAATTTTTAAAAAAAAAAGAAAAACTGCATTACTATTTGATATGATTTGACTTTAAGAGTCCGTTTAATTGGAGAATTTGTTCTCTAATTTAAATTATAGTTCATAATTCACTATAATATTTTCTCTCATAAAAAATACATGTAAATCAAAAATAATTTTAATCTCATAATTTTAATCCATAAACTAAACAGGTAATAAGATATTATCTGTATTTATTTATTTATTTTTTTTGCTACGAGATATTATCTGTAACTTGTTAAGTGTTCGCTTTCACAAAAATGCTTTACTTGTGTCCGGTATTATCTTCTTTAAAACAATGTACTTTTTTCATTAATAATCACGTGATCTTATCACAAAACACGTTAAAAAAAACTTCAAAAAAAATGTTGGAAACAAAAATATTCTTATTTTCTTCTCATTATAGAAAGTCGTATTAAAACGAAAATTAATATTCGAACTTGCTAGCAACGTTATCAATAACACGTTATGAGTTTAAGGTTACCAACGATGTTTACTTGTTTGATTTTTTTTATTTTTTATTTTTTGAAGGGTGTTTACTTAAATTTGAATTGTAGTTCTTTTTTGTTTCTCTGATGATCAGTATGAATAAAATACTTGTCGTACGGACTCAACTTTATTCAAACCAAATAGATGCGGCGGAAAAACACAAATTTATCTTCTGTAGTATTATTTTTTAGCTGTCTTGTGTCAATTTAACATCAAATATATGATTAATTTCAAAAATTCCTCCTCAACTATGACTATTTTAATATTTTACCTTCTAAATTTTAAAAAGTAACATATGTTCTCCCGAATTTTATTTTATTAACAAGTTTTCTCATTCTGTTACAATAAATGACAAAATTACCACATGTCACTTATTTAGTGAGAATTGAAAGCGCAGTTACGCTTATACTCTCATGATCAGATAATTTCTCATTTTTATTGAAGAAATTCACCATATTTTCTTTGACCATCATCTTCACTTTCTCTTTCCCTCTCTACCACTTTTTCTAGGGTTCCTTTCTTCTTCACCTCCCTTCTACTTCTTCTCTCTTCCATAAACTCTCTCTCTCTCTCTCTCTCTCTCTCTCTCTCTCTCTCTCTCTTCAACATTGCATATCACTCCTTCACTTTCACTCTTCAATGGTAGCTTTCACTTCTTCTTCGTCTTCGTCTTCTTCTGGTTATGCAGAGAATTCAGTGGCAATCATTGCTTCGTCTTCGTCTTCATCGCAATCGTCGCCTCCTCCTGACGACAACTTCGAAGAAGACTCTCGCAGGATTTGTCTAGAGCCTTTCAACTCCGATGATTCCCTCTTGGATTCATTGCTCTTCTTTTTTTTTTTTTCCTGGTCTTTATGTTGTTCAAGATCTAGGTTTTCTTTCTTTAACGCTTAAAAGGGTTGTTGCAGGTTAATTTATGACAATACCCTCCTCAAATGAGTCATGTGCCTGACACGTGGTGAATTCTGTCACTCATTGTAACAAAAGGGAAAAACTTGTTAACGGAACAAAGTTCGGGAGGAATGAATGTTACTTTTTAAAATTCATGGAATAAAGTGTTACAAGGGTCATAGTTTGAGGGGAATTTTTGAAATTAATCCTCAAATATAACATATTTTCAACAATTAATTCCAAGAATCATATTTTTTAAAACTTTAATTTTTTATTTTTTATTTTTCATTTTTACTTCGAGAAAAAATCAACTATAGAGAAACATAGCATTAATTTTAGTACAAGATGACATTAGATGGTCAAAAATGATATCTTTAAATATGATTCTATTTACACACCTATTTTTACTCTCTATACCTCCTTTTAAATTTCTAATTACAAAAAAACGCTTACATAAAATTTTAAAAAGACAACAGACTTGATTAAATAATTAAATTTTATTTAAAAAAGTAAAAAAAAATAATAATTAAGGTTTCTTCTTCCTCTCCACACACCTCACATGTCGTATTCATAAATTATAAACTATAGCTATTTTAAAATTCATAACAAAACTCCAATTTTAACCTTTTAGTGATTATTCCAAAAAGTTTTATGGAAATATGTTAAATTTTATTTACTATTTGTTATATGATTCTTCTCTTATTTTTTTATATATTTGTTTTTTAATTTTTTGTTTTTTTTAAAGTTAACATTTCTCTTTTTTCCCGTTTTCCACAACAGACTTTGCCCCGTTGATCTTTTCTTGATCTTTTATTTGCTACTTATGCTTTTTTTTTTAATGCCATTTTGTACCATTTATGTCAATCCATATATTATAGATGCTCGTGTTCATATCTTCTGATATCGTTTTTTAAATAATAAAAAATTGCTTCTATTTCCTATTTTTTTACTTGTGTTGTTTTGTTTTGTTTTTTTCCCTGAATTGTTTATTTTAAATTTTTCGTTATTTCTAGTTAATGAATCTCTTATTGAACTTAAAAAAAAAAAAAAAACTTCATGCTCAAGGCTTTAACCAAAAAAAAAAAAAAATAGATAGAACAAATAAATGATAATATTAAAGTAACAAAATAAATTATGTTAGGTATGTAGTTAGAAAGTGGTGTGAAAAGTATAGATTAAAAAGGATATCGAAAGTAAAAAGGAAGTGTGAATTTAGGGATACTTAGGGAATAATTAGAATGTGTAAAATGTATATTAAATTTTTTTTTAAATTAGGAGCCTATACGGTGAGACCCCTTTTAAAAAAATCTATTGATGGAATACTTTGTTTTGTTCATTACATTAAGTTTTCAACGATCTGCTCATGTCCGTATTAAAAATTTACCACGTACCGCACAGAGCTTACTCTCTCTCTTGAGATCTAATCATTGAAAAAGTAATTCAATGGTCAAACATAGGTGTTAGGTTTTTTTAAGGGATCTCACTATAAAGAAAGTTGAAATTATGTGGGGTATGTAATTAGATGGGAGGTATGAAGAGCAAAAAAAAAAAAAAAGTGCGAATTAGAACTACCCAATGAGTAATTGAATCAAACAAAAGATTTTGGACTTTCTTTTTTAAATTTAACATTAACATTTACATTTGAGATTATTGGTTTTTTTTTTTAAAAAAAAATTTATACTTTTTAATTCTTAAAATTGGTAAACCAAAATTCTCAAATTTTTGAGATCATATGAATATTTGTTAAGGAAAAAAAAAACATATGAATATATGTTAAGGAAGAGAGAGAGAGATTGGTTTTTGAAATAACGGTTGAGAGTCAGTTAAGTGGATCTCTCTCTCTCTATGAATATATGTTAAGGAAAAGAGAGAGAGATCATATGAATATTTGTTAAGGAAAAAAAAAACATATGAATATATGTTAAGGAAGAGAGAGAGAGATTGGTTTTTGAAATAACGGTTGAGAGTCAGTTAAGTGGATCTCTCTCTCTCTATGAATATATGTTAAGGAAAAGAGAGAGAGATCATATGAATATTTGTTAAGGAGAGAGAGAGAGAGAGAGAGAGAGAGAGAGGTTGAGAGTCAGTTAAGTGGAAGCTTTAGATTCAATCTCTCTTGTATTGTGAGAGAGAGAGAGAGAGAGAGAGAGGTTGAGAGTCAGTTAAGTGGAAGCTTTAGATTCAATCTCTCTTGTATTGTGTGTCACATTTGCGCCATCTGAAAACCTGAGAGTCAGTTAAGTGGAAGCTTTAGATTCAATCTCTCTTGTATTGTGTGTCACATTTGCGTCATCTGAAAACCCTGAAATCAGGCTCATCGTTAATTAGAAAAAAAAAAAAAAATCCGTGTGTGTGTATATATATTCATTTTCAGTACATAAACTATAAGGCCATTTATTAAATTCTGATTAAGCATGGGTCCACTTCTGCATTGCCAACATGCAGTCCTAAATACTTGCGTGCTATTTCTTTGTGTTATATATAATTAGATTAGTAGAAACAATTTTCATTAGCCCCAGAAAAAAAAAAAAAAAGACAGTTAAGTAACTGGTTAAAGCTTTATGATTATTTTGTAACATCGGTGCTCATTGCTGTTTCCACTCATTAATCTTGTTGTCCGCAACAATTTGCGCGCATCAATTATTCTCTCTGCCGAAGAAAGGTTGTTAACGTTGAACCACACCCAAATTCGTTTTAAACTTGATTGGCATCTCTAATGTTCCGTTTGTTTTGAGGGTTCTAATCTGATTTAAAATTATAATTCTTAATTCGTTACAGTATTTTTTTCTTATAAAAAATTTAAATTTTAAAAATCAACCATAATTCTAAACACATGAACCAAACATCACCAAAGACTAATTACAATTAAACTGAGATTTACCTTTAATTCCCCATCATATTGTCCCCTCTTATTTCTTTTCCTTTCTCCCCCTTTTTGAAGAACTCATGACTTGGTTTTAAGCAAAACAGTGTGGTAGTGTTAGGAGTGGCTTTAAATTAAGCCCAATTGTGTTTTGTCTTGTTTGGGCCCAAGCCCATGGCTCTCATTTAGGTGCTGCCGACTAATGCTTGCACAAGATATGTGTGTGCTTCACTCGTGAGAAGTTATAGAGCCGCGCGAGAGTGAAAGCAGCCGCACGTTTGATATCCCATTAATACATATTGTCTCTGTTTTTTTTTTTTTTTTTTTGAGTGAGATTAGGTTAAAGAATTAGGTTCCGTTTATTTCACTAATTTGAGTTTATAATTTAAATTTTATTAGAATAAAAAATTCTCATAAACAATCTTTTTTTTTGCTACAGTAAAAAGTTTCACATAAAGTTACATCTTAACTCAAATTAAAAACTCAAATCAGCGAACTAAATGAGCCATTACTTTTTTTATATTTAGTGTTTTTGCTTTTAATTTGAGAGATTTTAAGTGTATTTGAGATTTAGATGGTAGAAATATTTGATAGATTTTTATAATCTCCTTTGGTTATAGTGAAATTTTTTCACTGTTTCTGTTCATGGACGTAAGCCAAAAATCAGATCACGTTAAATCTTGATGTCTCTTGAATTTTTTTTTATTATTCATATTTTATCTTAAATTTGTTTAATTTGACGTTTTGCACAATAAGTACACACTATTTGAAGATTCTATTATAAATCACATTGATAAAAGTGTTTAGTAATATGTATGATGGTTGAACTGAATAAGTTAATACGCACACTTATGCCGCATTATCTAATACAATCAACTTTCTGTATATTGTATTGTATTATATTTTTTTTCTTTCCACTTACAATTTGCGTTTTTTTTTTTTTTTTGCCTATCAAGTCATGTCGGGATCAGTAGAGATAATATCTGGGTCGGGTCAAAACCAAAGCCAAGGTTAAACCGTGATCAATGTTGGGCTTGAGCTAGCCCATGATCGAGGTCGAGCCGAAACCAACACCAGGGAAGGGGTTAGACCAAAACGGAACATGGAATATTTTATTAGACCAAATAGGCATAATATTGTACACGTTATACAATATCATATACAAGCAATACATATGAATGATTTTTTTTTTTTGGTATGTCAAATATATAGCAGAGATCGTTACATAGTAAATGAAACACATCTATTTGAATGCTTACCAAGGATCGGAATATTAAATCAAAAGGGTAAGAAATGGAAAATGAGTTTACTTATTTTTGACTCATTCAGCAGTTTCTTAAATTCGACAAAGTGACCTTGTTCATTGATCTTGTCTCCCCATCGTGGACCACCTATAATACTTGTTTTCTTTTCTTTTTGGATTTGAAAGATCTTTTTTAACTTTCCTCAACTTTAGGGGTTTAAGGTGAAAGCGGTGAAGGCCCATGCAAGATAATTGTGGTTGGACGGCCATGAGATCACTGAAACCCCACTTCCCCCTTTTTTTTTAATTTTTTATCACGTCACATTAAATTATTTTATATTTAACAAATAACCACCGATAGAGACGTAACTATATATATATATATATATATATCAACAATCTTGGATGGGAACTAATTGCAGTTTGCCTCCATATGTAACTGGGAGCTGGCTCTCATCAATGTCAGTTAGCAGAGTGGATTTCAGGTTTTCATCCTCCACAAACATTATCTGCCAAGACATTTGTAAATTACAAGGCAACAAGTTAGATAAAGTTTGGAAAATCATGATATTCTTGTTAATTTTGTGCATAATTTTGGTTTTAAAAGCTTTTAGTGTTCGTTTGCTAGTATATATTGCCAACATTTATAATCATAAAAATGTTTCAGAAAAAATCTATGTAAATACATTTACATATATAGAAAGTTTTTCTTTTTTTTTTTCCTTGTAATTACCTTTTTTTTGGTATTGTTGTCGATAAGTGGGTAGATAATCTTCCAAGCAGCCATGAATATATAAGGCGCATGAACTATAAATATCTTGCCAAGCCTCTCTGGGTAGCAATCCTGTCAAAATAAATAAATAAATAAATATCCGCTAAATAAAAGCTTTTGCTGGTGAGCAATATTCATTTTCTTATTATCAATCAGTTTATATTGAAAACTGTTGTTCTGGTTTCCTACATATAGTACTATATATGGATATGCAAGAAATATTAACCCTAGGTAATAACAGTGATGTAAGCATGAATTTCAACTATATTTGTGATCAATCTGAACTTTAAATAACAAAAATTGAAAAAAAAAAAAAACTGTAAATTAACAAACCTGCAAAATTGATAAAGCTGCAAGGTATCCGCGAATGTCACTATTAGAATATCCATATCCTTGAAGATCTCCAATGGCTACAAACTTTTCCTGGCCTCTTGGCATTCTGAAAATCATTATAGGAATTATGTACATATAAATAATCGACTTTTACAAAATTTAAGCGTTTGATTCCGGCTTAATTATTATAAAATTTCTCTTTGATTTTCATAAACATTGGAAAACGAAAAGGGTAATTCTTTTCAACTTTAAAAATAAAAAGGAAAAAAGTGCAATTGAAGGTGATAGACAAATATCATTTTCTCGTATAATCCAGTTTTTAGTTACAAAAGAAACTCGAGACTCTAGTTGAAGTGAACAGGAAATTATGGTGGAGATATGGTACTATGTTATATCATATTATCATTATCATATATTGAATCCTGGTAGTTGCAGCAGAAACAAATATTGTATCCTGGTAGTTGAGATCCTAGACACACGCAACCTATAACCAAACACAATCTAAAAACTATTTCATATTCTTATTCATTAATTAGTCAACATCAGCGATGTCGCACTAGGTCAGGATTCCTCTCTCTAATTATGGTGTGAGGCGAAATCTGCATGAGGAATCTCGCAAAATGCTCACCCGAGTTGAATCTGTTGGATCTTTAATCTAATATTAATTATGTGTTGTAAACTGTCATATAAAGTTAAGTCCATTTAAAAGTGATATATTAAGGTTTAGGTAATTTGGGTTAAAATAAAAATACTAAAAGAAAACAGGAAAAATATTTATATATAGTGATTATGGTCATCAGATCACACGTATCATTTTATTCTTTTCTGACATCCCATCATCAGAGAGAAAGAGCAGAGAGAGTTAAAAGATTCTCTACGAAAAAGTGTTGATCTGGAAGACAAACCGCACGGCTCTAAAGACTAATTTATCATCATAGATTCACGTACGCTTCTACTTATTAGTCTGTTGATTCTTGGTGATCCTACACGAATGTTTCCTGAATTTTTAGAGATGTTTTACATCTAAGGATATTTTCTAACAGAATCTGCATGAGGGAGCTAACCTTATAGGGCGATGCTCGCATAGATACAGTTTGCCTTGTATGCAGGCAATGCTGGATGCGCAGCCTCCTATGCAATGCAATGCTAATCGGAGCGCTAGATCTCCACTGGCGTTTTGCAGTGGTCAGCTCTTGGGAGGTTGTTTGGTTTTTATGTTTATAAGTTACACTTGTTTAGAATTTGTCTCATTGTTTTAATAATGTGAGGGCAAAATGGTCTTTTAATAACCTAATTTCAGCTTAAATTTGTTTAGAATAGTATTGAACTAAACGTTTAAAAGGTAAATTTTACTAAAACTTGAAACTATGGATGGGATAACCTGGGGAAATTGGCACCCACCATGTTTCCTAATTAATTAGGAAGATAAGACCGCAAACAGGGCCACGTTGTCATGAAAAGTTTCAACCAAAAGTCTCGCATAAAATATAAGAAACAAATAATTTGCACGTATAACACTCTTGGGCAACTTCCAATTACATGATTATTGGAGTGACTTTCAACTAAAAATAGCATTAATATGTCGCGTGTAAAATTGTAAACTACCCTATCAACTTTAAAAAGATAAGGATTTCCCTCTCAAACAAAACAAAACAAAAAACAAAAAAACAAAACAAAAAAAGCAAAGATAAAGGATTTGTAGCTCAATGTCTTACTACCAATTATAAAAACCTCTTCTTATAATAATAATAAAAAATAGTAAATCATTTTCTCTACATATAGCATTTCCAAATTCCAACCAAATCTACAAAACAAGCCAACATCGATATTAGAGTGAGTAATTACCTGGAACATATTTTGTCGAGACAGAAGACTGCGAAACCTGCAGAAAGTAAATAGAACACACCAAAATAATGTTATCCGGTGCATGTCAAGTACATGATCTTCCCACTCAAACACGGATCCAAAAAACTTGGAAGATATTATATGGCATGAAGATATATCATGAATATTATTATTTGAAAATTAGTTAGAAAGTACTGGTGGGGGGGTTATTACGCACGCTTGAATTCGTCAAGTTTGGCCTGGTGATGCCTGCCGCCAAAGAGGACTGCAATGGGACGTCCTTTCTTGTCTTGGCCTTGAATGAAGAACTTGTTCTGCGCAATTTCGTTGGTGACTTCTAAGCTAGAAATTGAGCCATTCGGCACAAATGATCTCCTCCATCTCAAGTACTTGAGGAACATGTTTGTAGCTTTCTCAATGTCCAGATTACGCGCCCTCAGAAATCTCCGCAGTATTAGATCATCTATTTCCTGTGTATATAACAACATATTAATAGACGCAAATGGGCGCTTAATAAAACTGACCAACCAAATCTGTAATTGCTCTCATAACATACTAATCTCCGAACTAATTCTTCGATGAGAGAATAATTTATTGATATTAATGTTCTTTAGATTTTCTGAGTGTATAATTTAGAGTAAGTAAACACAAGACAAATAATGAAAAACATAAAAAATAAAAATAAATAAATAAATAAATAAAACAGGAAATCAACAAGAGCTAGCTGAGGAAATAATGGTTCATAATTAGAAACCTGGAAAGAAGGGTCTTCTTTTTGAATCAAAGCCCTCATGCTGTCGACTTTGCTTTTCTCATTTTCATCCAATATTTCTGGAGAACTCAACATATTAGTTGTATTACTATTCTTCTTCTTCTTCCTCTCTTTCAGCTCCTCCGTTTTTGCCTCTCTAATTTCCTCATCATTTATCTCCACTTTTTCACTTTCTGCGTCCTTGTTATTATTTTCCATTCTTCTCCTTTTTTTTTTTTTCCTTCCAGTTTCCGAACCCCCCCTTCTTGAGTAAATATGCTTATTTTCTTCCTTGTAATTAACTCTCTCAGCCCTCAGGGACTTGCCGAGTACGGCAATATATTAGCAAAAGAAGAAAGAGAGAGAGAGAGAGAGGAAGTTGAGCTGAATTAAATTAGCTTAGCTGTGGCCACCTACTGAAATCCAGCCCAATTCGTCACGTTCTATTTTTTATTTATTTATTATAATTTATATACGTTAAGTCTCGATCTCATGATTTTTTTCCACGACCCAGCAAGGAAAATCCATGTGAAATTTCAAAGGCTAATTTTCAAAAGCCTTATATGACCAGTTTTAAGCTTCTAGAGAATATTGTTTCCGTTTTTTGACCACCACACAATGTACTCATTAGTCATTACCCAACTGTTGAGGAGATTTCCACTCCCACCCTAGGATCATGTCACGTATCAATGATTGAACCAGAACTAAGACCAAGAGTGAGCCCAGTCAGAAAGGGAGGCCCGTAAGGTATTCCCAACGTCCACCTCGATTGAGGTCTCATACCGATATTCACTGAAGTCGAGGGGAGGCTCAAACCTCGATTACGGGTCAGGATTGTTCCCACCACGAAACTCCAAACGCATTGAGAGAGAAAAAATCGTCTTAAAAGCAAGGGAACATGTTCCCATTTTTCGAGAATAGTGTGACCACTGAGAATGCAACGCTTGTTAAGTAAATAACAGAATAGAAATGGATGTCTATAAAATTAGAAAATTTCTTGAGACATTCTAAAACAATGAATGTCCTAAAAAAACCCTAACTAGGTAAGGCTCGGTAACATATCGTGATCAAAGGGCACTCAGAGTATTCATCTGATCATGACACTCACCATATAAATAGAATGCGATGCATTCTATTGGAGACTTTTTCTGCTCTGAGGATATCTTCTAGAATATTCTTCTGTTATTCCATCTTAGCCCGAACATTTGTTTGATTTGAGCGTCGAGTTTTTTCTACAAGACACCCCGGCACTCCTAGAAGACAAAGTGACTGGAAGAAGTAGGAGATAGCTAATCAAATCTCAGAAGAAGTGAGTGAAAGAAGCAGGAGATAGCTAATCAAACCCCAGAAGTCGATGTTTGAAAAACCGCACAAACACCAACTGAGAATAATGAGAAGAGTAAATCATAGTGACCGCGTCCACTACGCTGGTGAAATTGAAAATTTATTAGTCATGAAGTTGACCCAAAAGCCTTATTAAATTCAGTTGGCCCGAGTAAATTTGTCATTAATTCTCACATTTATGATTGAAAACTGATCTCATACGTTTATTTATTTATTTTATCAATTTATTAATATCTATGTCTGGTCCATTTCTAACGGCCGATGTTAGACTTTTTGTAGCTATAGACAGTACGCACTCCTGTACCTAATTATCTTTTTGTATTAGTATAACGCAACAAAAGTAAATGACCAAATTTTCTTTGTATGTTAGACTTTTGTAATTAACAAAAATAATTGACCAAATTTTTAACAATTACTATGAAATCAATCTAACTTGACTATAAATTATACATACGTAGTTAATTAAAACCGTTGTTATTCGTAAAGTTTTTTTTTTTTTTTTTTTTTTTTTGGAACTCAATTGGGGTTTTTTGTTGGTGTTTATTGAGTGTGTGAGTTGTTTTCATATTGAGCTTGGAATAAAAGTCTCAAAAGGAACATAATTAAAAAAATATGTGATTTTATTTCATATACTATTGTATATTTCAACTCTATTTCTTTTTATTCATGTCTTTTTTTATGTCTTTTTAATAATATTATGATACATTAATAGTTAAAACAAAATATGTTAATTAAAATACCATGTCACGTATCAATTAAAGATTATACTAGTTAAAGTATTTTAATTGAAGTAGAGAGTTGAAAAAAATAAAAGAAGACAATGTTCTAGAGAATATTGTTTCCGCTTTTTGACCACCACACAATGTACTCATTACCCAACTATTGAGGAGATTTCCACTCCCACCTAGGGGTGGCAATTCGTGTTAACGAGTCATGTTCGTGTCGTGTTGAACCTCTCAGTTGACATGAATAGGTCTGACATGAACACGACCCGTTTATTAATCGTGTCAAAATATAAAACCCAAACACGACCTGTTTATTAGCGGGTTGACATGACACGACACAATTAACCCGTTTATTAAACGGGTCGTAAACGTGTTGTGTCAACCCGTTGATTACCTGCCAACATGTTTATGAAACGGGTCATAAACGTGTCGTGTCAACCCGTTAATTACCTACCAACACGTTTATGAAACAAGTGATTAATAGGTCGTGTTAACCTATTTTTGAACCTAATTTAAAACCTATTTGTGAACATGTTTCTCAACCTGTTTTACATGATGTAGAGACATTACATAATCTAAGTTCAAAATTGAAACAAACACATGAAAGTCTCTCACAAATTAAAAACAAACACATAAAAGTCTCACAAATTAGAAAACAAACATACATGATTAATAATTAAACACTTAAATAATTTGTTGCAGTGGGGGGACTCCAAGTACATCATTACGTTCAGGAGAAGTTGATCCCTGTGAGAAAGGCTCATCATCTTTCAATGAAAAGTTAAAGATATCTTGTGTAAAATCCTCTACCTCTTCATTGAAATCTACACGAAAACAAATATATATAGATACAAGTTATTTTAAAATCAATATAGGAAATATAAATAAATTAAATAAGTTTGAAACCACCTTTGTCGCCATATAACCAATCTCTGATACAAACAAGTGCTTCAACTGTTTTCGGTTTAAGTGAGCTACGAAATGAATCAAACGTTCCTTCAAATCCATCATTTTCTTTCAATTTGTTACAAGTTGAGAAACATCATAGGAAGAATACATATTACAAAAATAGTGTAATAAACAAGTTTGTTTCTAAAAATTCTGCCCATCAATCCTCTTTCCGCTTTGAAGAAAACATTTCAGGATGGTAAAAAAAAGGAACTGAACCGATAAAAATAGAAAGCATACAATTTAAAATAGAAAACATTTCACTTCCTTGTCCCACTAGTTCTCCGGCTATCTTTAAACCCTAAGAATTAAAATAGAAAGCATAGCTCATACAATTGAATACATATTAGGTTAATAAGGAACATAGATCAAATAACAAGACCGAAATATATGCATAAAACAAATAAAAACCACAAAGTGAAATACCTGTCGAGATAAAATATATGCATATTGTACCATAAAATGAATGCAAACTCAAGAATTTAACAAAAATTCATAATCACATAAAGAATTTGCACCGGTTTGGGGAATTCTGAAACAGACTTTGGGGGGTACACGACTTGATTAACTTGTACACTAAATTAAAATCTCAGCAGAAAATCTTTTGATCCACCTTCAACTAAGAAAATACATCACAGATCAAAAGGAAAATTATATCTCAACATTAATCATCATAAAATCCTGGTTCAGAACATAAAGACTCCAGCTCCTTGGCTAATCCAAGGGTAGCCATTATCTTGTAGCCGGGGGAATTGACTTCCGACCAAATGCCAAGAAGCAGATAAGAAGTTGTAATTTTTCCACTATCACCTAGAATCAAAACAAAAACAAAACATGGACAGGGTCGAAGAAGAAGACCGAATTCGTTCCCAAACAAAGAATCTGTTCGCTAAGGCCGATTTTGATGAAGAATGAAAAGAATAGAATAGGGACCGAATCTATTCCCCTGCCTCCTCAGCAGATAAAAAGTTGTAATTTTTCCACTATCACCTAGAATCAAAACAAAAACAAAACATGGACAGGGGAAATACCTGTCGAAGAAGAAGACCGAATTCGTTCCCCAAACAAAGAATCTGTTCGCTAAGGCCGATTTTGATGAAGAATGAAAAGAATAGAATAGGGACCGAATCTATTCCCCTGCCTCCTCAAGGTCGAATATGACGGAGAGAGTGGAGAGTCCAGAGAGAATGGGGTGGAGAGGAAAGAAGAAGAAGAAGAATAAGCTCATACGGTGGTCAGGCTGTGGTCCTCCGGTGGACTTAGAGCTCAGGCAGCGGAGAGGAGAGTTGAGAGAGAGTGGAGTTAAGAGATAGAGAGAGAGAGTCGAGACTAAAGAGAAGAATAGGGTTTTGGGTTAGGCGGCTGAGTGAGATAGTGAGATTAGATAATTATATATAAATAGTGAAACATTTTTAACCTAGGTAATAAACGGGTTGTATAATCATGTTACCCAAATATGACACGTTCAATAAACAGGTTATCATGGGTCAATTACGGGTTGGCGGGTCAACCTGAAAATGACACGTTATTTAATCGTGTTTCGCGGGTTCGACCTGATTTTGACCCGAACCTATTTATGATAAACCCAAACCCACTATTTTCGTGCAGATTTCGAGTCGTGTTGTCGTGTCGCTACTCGAATTGCCATCCCTATTCCCGCCCTAGGATCATGTCACGTATCAATGATTGTACCAGAACTAAGACCAAGAGTGAGCCCAGTCGAAAAGGGAGGCCCGTAAGGTATTGGATCCTCGACGTCCACCTCGATCGAGGTCTCAGACCGATATTCATTGAAATCGAGGGGAGGCTCAAACCTCGATCACGAGTCAAGATTGTTCTCGCCACGAAACTCCGAACGCATTGAGAGAGAAAAAATCGTCCTAAAAGCAAGAGAGTATGTTCCCATTTTTCAAGAATAGTATGACCACTAAGAATGCAACACTTGTTAAGTAAATAACATAATAGAAAGGGACACGTGGGCGGAATCCACGAATCCATACTTCATGTAGTGCTACCAATAAATACAAATCAGTAATGATACAAACTGAGACCACAGGGCTCCATCTACAGTATTTTTAGAAGATGTATAATTGTTTATTTTCTAGATTTTGTTGGGAATAGAAAAAAGGTTGTATAACGGAGCTATATAGTGATATTTTCTGTAACATATTAATTTATATTGGATATTTCGAAATAATATTTATCCCTTTCAAAAAAAAAACAATGAATAAATTCCTATATGGTATCCATCACATGACGTTCCTTGTCCTTAGGGTAATTAGATTAGACAATACAGTTTGGTCAAAAGAGTACAGTGAGATATATAGTTTATATTTGTTTTAGTAAGTACTAATATATATAAACATTTTCTTGTTAAAAAATAGAAAAACTACACGAGACTCGTCT